ATATGAAGCCCTAAAAATATGTACAACGTCGAAGGATGAAAACATTATAGCTACTGAGTACCGTGTAAAACTTTGTAACATATGAAGCCTGTTCGGTTTCAACATCAATTTATTCGCTATAAAAATTATAATTAAGCGTAATATTTCCATGTATCGGCGTGTTACACGACGTGGGTTTCGCTTCAATACGAGATTCATGTTTTATAGAAAAGTGGATCTTTATTGAGCGGTGAAAGGCGTCGACGTACGGGTAAGTTACCATTATAGCCATCATGGCGGCTGGCCGGGGACATTTGTTTAAATTTATGCTTGTTAAGGCGAGGTGACTGAAGGCACGGCCGCTACACGACATGGCTCTGTCGATAAGCTAATCATTCGTTAGCATGCTTGTACACTGGCGTCCCTCGTATACGCGGATAACTTTGGTTTCCTATGCAGATCGCGTGCTTGCAAACATTAGTTTTGCATGTTAGTAGAATGACGTTCTTGTTTAATACAGTTCCTTCCTTCTTGGAATTTGAAAAATAGATTTTTACCCGTTATTTTATGTGATAGGTCGGCAAACGGATTACCTGCTGGTAAGCAATCAGAGCCGCCCATAGACACCCGCTGCAACAGGAGTTACGAGTGCGTTGCCGAACTTTTGGGGATAAGGGATTAGGGAGGGGAAGTATTGGGTCTCAGTAACCTCACTCGCTCGCTTTTAATATTGCTTTTCATTTTTAGTATTGCTGTCTAGTATTATGTAACTAATTAATATTTATCTTTATAAATAACATCATGAAGTGCCTAAAAGTTTCAGCACGGAACTCTAAGAAAAGCGGCATTTCAAGGAAATTGGATTAGAGCGTATCAACTAGATCATTTGAAACTATATAGTGTTTCAATATCTACATGACATGACATCCGATCGACCTACTCTATTTTTTTTTCTTCGAATTTTCTTGGGAATTTTTGATAAAAACATTGGCACTGGACGGTATCACATTATCACTAAGGTTGTTTGAGTAATTTGGAATGCTTATCTTATCATATTATTCCACTGGGTACAAGAGTGTCTGTATTATCTCCGAATTGAGCTTTATAAATAAGTACTCAATTAGTCTAGTCTCAATCTATGTCAGACTCAAGGATTGGTTTCTCATATCGAGTTCATACACATTCTGTTTCAGAGGATACCAGTCCAGTGATATAATGAAGCCCTTAACACAAGAGACAAGACTCTAAAAAAAAAACTATCAGCCGAACATAGTACCTCCTCCTTTTTTGAAATCGGTAAAAATAGCCAGTAGTTACACATCGCACAAAGATCGAAGAGTCATGTCAACATAAAACATAAGCAACGCGTTAATATTCATAAAGCACTTTAATACAACATAATCTTGTATTTCCCATGGGTCAAAATAAAATACAGCATGTTCACTATTTTTTATTCACATTGATATAAGTGCATATCTAATCTATGACAGCAAAAGAAATCTGAACTATACGTACGTATATAACTCGCTTATTATCTGGCCAAGTTGTTAAAGTCAAGTTCGGGTTAAAGGTTAACTTTAAGATAACGGATAGGTGTGCAACATGTACCTGGATTGTTAATATACATGCTGTATTATATACTAAAGTTTATCGATAATATTTTCGAATTTGTAGCTCGATATTATAGTTTGTTACCTTGAAAAAACAAAGTTGATTGCAAAATTGTAACTTATACCTACACTATTGTAATTCAAAATACTGTTTCTGGTGACTGGAGAGTCTCCAGTCTACACTCTCATAGTTGTCTCCAGTGGAGACAACAACGAACAATTTATTTTGTCAGGAAAAGTCATAAAATGACTTTTCTCGCCTTGGGTGGATCAAGAGAGTCTCTTTACTGATTAAAAACCCATTTCTTCTCCTGCTTCTGGCCGGAACCATGGTACACTATTGCACTTGATCAGCAACCCCGGCTGAACTACAAACCAATTTTCGACTTTCTTTTAGATTCCTATATCCTCAATAAAAACGCTCAGTCATAGCTATTGTAACAAAATCATAAAAAAAAACGACACGCAATGCTTCAAAATCGTCCACCATTCCATCTAGACCGAACATTAACAATTGTACTAAAATAACTTACAGTTGCCAATAAACTTAACCCTTATCGACAGCCTATACTTATATTGTAAATAATTTGTCCAACCGGAATGTTCTTACAATGTAAGTAACTACTTACAATCTTACAACTCTTGTCTATCTATGTGCACACTGAATAGCAATCACTTACGAGGTCTATACTTAATATAAAATAATAAATGAACATGGCCGTCATCTATAAATCAATTCTATAACTATGTATGTACGGCTTCATATAATCTTTTTTATTAATTATCTGTTGCTATTTTTAGTTTATTGAAAACCTTTTTATAAGGGTCCTATTAAAATAAGGTTTTATTAAGTTCTTAAAGTCTTAGAGACATGTCTCGTTGATCTATCCTCACGGAGCCCAACTCATACTGAGTTGGCAACCCTTTTGACATAGACATGCTACTTGGTTTTATTAGTATTTTTGTGTTATATTTTGTTTCATGGCATTTTTTTACTTGGTTTTTTTTCGGCTTATTATTTATTATATTTATATATATTTGGTTTTTGTGCAGCATGTCCTGTTCAAAACAAATGATTCTTCTATCTTCTTTCCTCGCATACAATGATGAAAAGTGGTTCTTAGACATAGGATATCGAGTAAAGTCATGGAATGTTGTTGCTTGTTCAGTGTTTTGGACTCCCTACTACAGAAGTTCTAGTAACAAAAATGCATTAAGTGGAAGCTATTAGAGAGACGCAATGCAAACGAAATATTTAGTGCTATTTTCTTACGAGACTTGATTCCAATGGAAAATTCTTTAGATAAACATCCTATATGTACACTTATGTATCAACTTTTAAACCGAATACATATGTAATTTTAACTAACTAGTACTAATATTATTACGAACATTTGCAAGTAAAAGTAGTGTGGCCAATAAAATTGTCTAGATGATGTGGACTCCAGATTTCCCTTTCTACAGGCTTGGTGCTAAAATGCCCTTAAGTACATTACCCGCACCTGTTACCTGTTATCATTGAATATGCGGCACATGGAAGTGATTTGAGATTTCTAATCCGATTTACGTTTTTTTTATGTGATAGGACGGCTAACGAGCATGCGTATTACCTGATGGGAAGCAATCAGCGCCGCCCATAGACACCCGCAACAACGGAGGAGTTACGAGTGCGTTGCCTACCTTTTGGGAATTATGGTTTTGGAGATTTAGGTATAGGGAGAGGGGAATTATGGGGCCTCCGGTAACCTCACTCACACGGCGAAACACAAAACTGTGGTTGTTTCACGTCGGTTTCAGTGAGACAGTGATATCACTCCAGTCAGGCCGACCCATTCGTGCCAAAGCAGGTCTCTCCCACACTTTATACTGATTCCTATTTAGACTTTCAAATTGTTGACTTTTCAAACATATGATACCGAGTCGGTTTCAAACTTATAATTATTTATTTATTTATTTATTTTCCAAAACTTAGACTATTTTTACAGGTTTTGTTCCCAATGCAATAGCCTAGCTTATATGCCTAAACAATAATATCTACATATCCTTACTTGACAGAAATTATAAGTCTTGGTTTTCTGACTATGTTTTCTTTGAACGTATGTAAGTGGTATCTATATAATCATAAAAAGTACATAAACACACACATTGGTAGGTATTTTAGCACCCTCATGCATGTGAAGCGGGCGCCTTAACAACCATTCCACCAAATTATTTAATTACAGGAAACTTGTTACAAAGTCGGCATCAAATAATAGGGACATTCGAGGTACTCAAATGTGTAGAAGAAATAACAATGAAACAATGAATTTATTTTTGCAAATAGGCCATAAAACGGCACTTTTACACGTCAAATTATACGTGAAAAACTAGATGAAGCCGGCATTTCCTATCTGACTAATCTGAGAAGAAATGCCGAAACAAACTCAGTGGTCAGTCTCTTTTCAAGTCCAGACAATGTAAAATAACATAATGTGAGAGAATCGTGCAAGTTCATTCTGTAGTGGTCTTTTGAGGAAAGAACCACACCAGTTTAAGTGGACCCGTTCTGAAGACAGGCACGCAAGTGTCAGTTTGCAACCAGTATTAAAGTACCATAATACTGGGAAAACAAAGTTACCAAATAGATAGGTGCACTCAAAGCTTCATAAATGTCATGGAAATAAAATACTAGATATAAATAAATATTTTTATTAGTATCAATAAATATTCGATCATTTCATATGAGATAAATTGGCACATCATTATACCTATTAACATACAATATTTATATGAAGGCGTCAAATGTTTCTTAACACACAATTCTCGGGACAGTCTTATTTATATTAAGTACTACGACGAAATATATATGTATGGTACTCAATTAATGGAAATCAATACTTAATGGTGCAGATATACGGTACAAAATTCATCGCGACGTGAATAATAATTTAGGTTACTTACCTAAATTATTATTATGAAGAAACATTTTATGAAATTATTATGAAAAGTAGAATTCAAAATTGCAATGAAATTATTATACAAATGTTAGGATTTAATAGAAAAACATTTTTACATATTTATTACATTATGGTGAAGCCCAGTCCTCGCTTTAAACAAAGATTTAACATTTCAAGTGATTTTATACAATTCATAAATACAAAACTAAAGTGCAAGATAATTTGAAAATGTCTTTTTAGTAATCAGTTAAATAAGTATTCAGTCTGATTATTACTTACAATACTTAGTTAAAAGATTATAACGTTCATAATTCAATATTAATTAAGAATTCTTCAATTCTCTTATAATACATTCAAGGCCACTCCACAGTCTAAAAAGGGTGCAGAAAACATTAACGTATTTATCACTTAAATTTTACAACAAGTATATGTAATCATCAATAGGTGTACTCCACACAATTATAAAATATATGTAAATAACAATATACACTGTACAACAATAACTACTAAGTAGTCAACATAAGGACCATATTCCAACGCAGCCATTTCCATCCGACTCATCTTTAGCAGCCATCGTAAATCCTCCTTAGTTCCGTTCCTGGCCCGGCAGACAAATCTCTTCGATGCGTATCGACAGAGATAACAAGGTTTCTGTATTGCTACAGAAATAAAAACAAAAACTCCTGTCACGGAGTGAACAAGATCCAGTACAGCATGGACCGACAGATCATATGCTCAATGATGGCCGTTTCTTCCTGACGCTTTTGTTGCTTAAACCAAGGATTGTGCCGATTACCTGTAAAATAAACAATTTGTTAAGTAACAATATCTAACAAAATCTTTATTTTTTTAGATAAGTAGGGAAAAAGTCTAGATAAAGTTAGGAGGAATGAGCAATAAACCGAATATAACAACCAGATATCATCATCTCTATAACAATCCAAATGTATCAAATTTAGTAAGCCTTTAAGTTTCGAATCTTTGACAGTGGCTCCGAATATTGTCAATTACAATAAGGACAAAAAACATTTCACACGTTTTATTAAAATATTACAATCTGCCACTGGTAAACACTCACTTTAGAGACAGAGTAGGCAGCAAGCTTTCGCCTGGGGGCGGGCAACAAGAGCGCCAGCGCGCGCGCCTCCCGCAACAGCGCGTGGAACGCGAGCGCTGCGCCCGCGCACGACTCCGCCGCCGACACCTCGTAGAACTGACAACCGAAGCGCAACGACAGCTCCTGACCCTCTTCCGCTTTGACAACTCTGTTGGACAAGTAAATCCCCCTTCGTATCACGACATTTTACACAGTAACACTATGATTACAAGCAATTTCCAGAAAATTATAAGAAAAATGTCAAGTACTTATTAATTTACATAATAAACAGAAGGATATTACTGTAGCTACTAGTAATTTATCAAAGAGATTAAGAATTTTTCTTGGCCTTTTGAATAAATTGGCAGCTATCAATTACCATGACATAATATCTTTATAGTAATTACCTGGCATGTTCCAGGTCACGTTTGTTTCCGAGTAGGGTGACGGCGGTGCAACCTGGTAGCCTGGTCCTCTCCAGTAAAGCCAGCAGTTCTCCAGCAGCAATGAATGACCGTCTGTCACATACTGAGTACACTACTGCAAAAGCATCCCCCCATCGTAGGTGTTCAGCTAAACATCCTCGTTTCTAAACAAAACAAATTAAGATCCTATTAAGAATTATCATAATTCGATTAAGGAAAATATTGAGCCATCATATCTATTATTCATACTACATCGTTATCATTTGAGTCACGCACGCACGATTCGATGACTTATGACAAACATTAACATTTACCAATACATCGAAGTGTTTGGAAAACGATTATAAATGAAATGTAGAAAGTATCGATACAAACGGCAAATGTTTATGTTTGTTCATGCTCGAGGTGCGTATTCTATTAGCGATGATATCAACAGAGATAAGACACTCACGGCGCACCCGCACGTATCTAAGACTTCCACTTCAGACGTGGCGCCGTCGAATGCCACCCGATGTTGATACAGGAAATCTGAAACAAAGTCTTTATTTGACTTTGCACAACAATCAATACGCGACCCGGTCTCAATACCGACCTCGTAATGTATTGACTTTCTGAAAGATGCTATCAGTCACACAGATCTAGGTTACAACCAATAACGCACTCGCTCGATACGCCAAATGAATTATTAAGTGTCACTGATATAGGCACAAAAAATATGCAATAAATCAATCGATTGGGATTTCGAGAACGCAAAGATTTAGGTGATGATAAAACAATCTGCTGAAATTATGATAATTTTTAAGGACGTAATGATAAAAGTGTTCGGTAGACACATTGTTCCAGAAAATCAATCAATATAATTTTAGATGATTAAAATAGCTGTTGTATTTTTGTTTTTAAATATTGAAAATAATGTAATATGCTCCAAAGGTCGACGGCCTGTAGACCGGCGCCGGCGTCGCTCAGCCTTGGCACTCCGGCGCTGCATCTTGCCAATATCGCAAATAAACCGTCCATTGGCACTCAATGCCTGGCATTTGTAAGTGCCCTCTGTAAGGGCTCATCTTCATTGGTATTTCTGTCTTGCGTACAACACTGACACTCTTCACATATCAACTAGGTGATCTGAACTAGGTGCCAGTGAAAACTATATTACTGTTATAATGACCTTAATACACAATAGGGGTGTTTATCAGATAGAAACTGTGTCATGCCGGTTTTGTTTGATATCACAAAAAAATCTACATCAGTTTTATTAGCCAATTGTGCTTCTCTAGAACGTGTTTATCATGTGTAAGATCACAAATCCTATTCATGAATAGAAGTTTCCTAATGAATGCATTGAATGTTTCAGCAATTTCTGCGCCGAATTAATATAAACAATCCTCATTCACATTGTATGAAGTGGTTCTAAATATACTCACCGCCAGTTGAGCTGTACTCGCCAATGTACCGCTTCGTTAAATAACGAACCACCACGGCTGAAACAAAACAAATACAATAAACCAATTGCCCAACACTTCACACGTTACCGGTAAACTAAACTACAGTGTATTTGATTGCACTTTTAGTTCAAACTTTATCTAACAAGATAAAACATACAGATTAATTGAAATACAAGTTGGTAACAGAGAAAGCAGCAATTAGCAGCCACTCGGTAGGGTGTTACAAAATTTGTGTCCCTCAATGAATTTATAACTACAAGCTTCAATTAGAGGGAAAGTAGACAAAGGGCTAAAGGTGTAGTAAAGTTATTGGTCAACTATCCCAGCAATTAACAGCAAAGACGAGAAACAGATTAACAATCAATGTTTTATTGGTATTCTTATTTATATGAATATAATCACTGGTTTGTATGAGGCTTACATCGTTTATTGCCTCTATTATGATTAAGGAATATTCGTTTTATTATAAATCAAGGAATACCGCACAAATTAATACTATTATGATATTTATAAGAAATAAAATTATTTATAGGAATAATTACATTTCTGACCATAAAATTAGATAGTATATTAGGATAAAATGACATCTTATTAAGTTTCATTTTTGACTAGACAATATTATTATTGACTAGACATAAACGCGAATATTTGTTTTGGTTTTTTTTTTTACTACAAACACACATAAAATTGTATGGGCAAGTGACGCCACGTCTCCAAGAAAACCGGCGTGAAACAACGCTAGAGTTGTGCTTTGCCATGTAAATTAGGTTACAGGAGAACCAATACTCTCACCTCCCTTATCCCTAACACTTTTTCGATGCCTAATGATAATTCCTACTAACTCTTGTTTTAGGTAGTTTGTGGGTACCAAATAGAGATTTACACAACAAAATTATATTTACTATAAAAAATTGTGGCATCAATTCAGACTGACCAGTTTTCATATCTGACGTGATCAAGAAGAATCTTACTCGTTCTAAAAATTTTGATTTCCAATCAGCATTGTGAGAGTTGCAATTGTCTAGAGTCCAAGATAAGGTTATAAGGTTTAGTTTTGCATAGAGCATTACTGCCCGTTCTCTTTCAAATGTGAAGTTGAAAAAATACGGCTTAAAAGAAATTCATTTTCCTCTGCCATCACCGCACAGCGTACTTTTACGTTTCATAACTTAATATGTTTTAAATAGGTTCAAGATATTACAATGAAATACACGCTGTTTCAAGTGTAAATCAGAGCCCTACGCACAATGAAACATGATAAACCTTTGTGTAATTCTAAACTAATATAACACGTTCTAGTATAAAATTACGTGATTAAATAGAATACGTAGGTGAAATCTATTAAGTGGGCGAAGTGGACTATATTTGAAAAAAGAAATTGAATTGAGTAACTATTGCGTTCAAAAATAAATGACAACTTATAGGTCGTATGGAACTGCAACGCAGATCGCAATGGCAAAAACTTTGTAATGTAGGAACTATATACGTAATAACTATAGAAGTACGCAAAAATACTATAGTCGTTTTGATGTATTGTAAGGTCGATGAGACAAAATAGTATTAATAGTAGAAGAAGTGGTCTTCAAAACTCAAAGTCAATATGAACGAATAGACTATAGTGAAACTAGTGTTGATAAATAGTGGCGCTCGCAACAATACAAAATAAGCAACACTTCCTCGTGTTCTATTGACGCGGCAGGAACGCAGAGCTATATGCAGACTAGGCTAACCGACCCACGACAGTTCAGGAACAACACACCTAGTAATACCGTAAATCCTAATTGCACACAACAACTATCAAGCAGCTATTCCGCCTACAAAAACTAAAGCTAACCCATTCATTTCCCTAGTTGACTCATACCCCCATGTTTACATTATAGAAATCTTATCGAACACAAGCAATAGGTCGAACAAATATTTATAACCTAGAACTATGGACCAGCAATATTAAGATACTTAATAAGAAATACTATGGAATATAAACTGTTGAGCTACAAATAATAAATAGCTCGTGTGGACCTGATTCTATCAATAAACAAACCGACATCAAACAGCAGATCGATCATGTATTTTTGATTAGAATCAGTTCCGAGACATCGCCCCAATACAGATCATAAACCGTAAAATGGATTATAAAGTGTCACATCTCATCAACTTCAAGTTTTATTGAGATTTGCTTCTCTAGCGAATGTTATAGCATGAGTTAGCGGGAATACTATAAATAAGTCATTTCAATCGATTTATTATAGAGCTTCTGGAGCACACGTGGTTTTAATGTCAGTCATGTGTAGTAGGTGTCTGTGTTCTCTGAAGCCTGACGGGTCAGAAGCGAGGGGCGTTGTGATGTGTGCCTAGATTCAATGAACCAGCTCAAAACAATCGATGTATGTTAATTGCGATTTCACGGCTATCTATCGAGGTTGTCGAACTTTCCTTTTATGTGCACTCTCCTGGTTGAGCATCTTTTATTGCTTGAATATAAATATTTTGCTCAATTTTTTAGCTGTTAGCCATCATTATCGCTTTATTTTTGAATGCAATAATATTTTTATTTACAAAGCCATCTCGTTAATTAACCACTTCGTGGAAACATAATTTCAAATCTGAAATAAATCAATACTTATGAACGATACGTGTGTTAATTACATACAGATTGTAAATAAAGAAAACTACACCATAACTTCATTAACAAAACTGGCCCTCTTACTGTAAAGCGTAGTCAGACAAGTATTGCAGAATCTGAAAACCCTTATCAATTCGTGCAAAATAAACATGCAGCTTGAGTCTTACCAATTATACTAACGAGTACTTTCACTTGAACACTGATAGCTAGGCAGTTCAAGGTGATCCGCAGCCACATTACTCTGCACCGATAGCGCCTCATACCATAAATCTAGGTTAAATTTGTAACAAGACAGAACGGTCTTCCATTTGCAATGCAAGCACACGCCCGAAAAAGGTAGCCTATTCCATAGCACAATGCAGTGAATGATGCTTCTGCTACTGGCTGGAGATTGGAATACCGCATGTATGGCAAAGCTTATTAAGATCTCGACCGTGAAGTGCACACTGCTTTCGCATGTTTATAACTTTTATATTTATTTCCAGAATAAAACTGGAGTGTGGTAACGAGAGGTATAACGGGACTCGGGAAAACGGTCGATTCAAGCGACGTCTTGTGAGCGAATACGGTAGCTCTAAATGTTAATTAAGAGCATCGGTGAGGTGATCACAACCGCGATCCCAGACTGTTTGCCATGGTACAGTAATTGGACGGCACACAGTTTCATTTACATTTTTACGTTCAGTTTATTTCCTTAAACGCCACTTAATTAAGACACGTCTTTCTCACAATCCTCAACACAACTTTATTGGGGTTCATAAAATAAAAAAAGTGGTAATTATTTTTATAAACTAATCTCGCATAGTACAAAGCTTTCTCCCAATCTTAAATTGTTCGACATGCTAATTAGAATTTCACCGTAGTTATTTTTGACAGATGACAATGATGAGCTTACTTGACCTGGAAGTCTAGAAATTTTTGACCTCATAATTCAGTTCAAATAAAGGTCTAAAGGTGGCGCGTTAAGCAAATTATCGACAAACATATTGACAGTTAAACAAATCGACGAGTTCGAAACATGTGTGCAAACATTGATGATGATTCAACGAGCCAATATAAAAGTGAATGATCAAATAGCGAAAGTAAAATCAACATAAATAGGATATTTTGGGTACACAATACAAACATAACTAGTCCTATGAGCACAAAAGTGAAAATGCTGTGTTCGATGTAAATGGAAACAAAAAAATCTCCTTTCATAAATCACACCTATAAACCGCAAAAAATGACAACAATACAGCTATAAACATTCGAAAATCAAATATTTCTTTCTACGCTATAAATACATTTCAAACTGTGCGAATTCTATTTGGAACGCTGACTGAGCGATCGAATATTCGGTCGGCAGTGTATAATTATGTCGTATCGTGAGTGGAGCACTAATGGAAAGGAACAGAAGGTTTACTTTCTAGAATGTTGTATTTAGAATTAAATACAAATAGAATTATGCCAAAATTTTTTTTCTCGATGATGCGTATTATCACTACGCGACTTTTCAGTTACCTTATAAATATGGCTATGATAAACTAAGATTACTCGTCCTCTCCAAGCCAAATGGTCAAGTGTAGTCAATTTTTTTGGTTTTATGTTTTCATCTGTATAAAAGTTCCTACTGCTGTTTCTGTGATATCCTTTGAGATGCACCTTAATGAGCATATAATGCCACAACGTGCATCCACTTCTCACCACTTACATTATTAGCTCCATGTACCAGGGGATGGGCCTATTGCCATATATTGGACACAACACCAAATTTATAATTGAGAAACTACTGATAAAAAATCCAGTTGTTTTTTGCCAGACACGCGAATTGTACTTTCCGTTGGTGAATGTGGATTTTCTGTTCTCGATTATTTAGTATCAGGAGTGAGTGTGCGTGGTGCGTGCGGCGGGTGTCCCGGCAGACGTCTGACCGGGTGACTCACTGCGCGCCGCGGCATGCGGTTGAGCTGCGCGCGCGCCTCTATTAATACTACTGCAGTTGACATTTACTCGCTCTCGATCTATGATCCCGAAATGCAATCCCAGTTTTATGTCATCCATAATGTTGAATACGATGTGTTCGTAATAACTTCACCAATAATTTCTGTTTTCATCATTATGTCTATTTTAAGAAACTACCTATGTAATCGCTGTTGTAAAGAAGACCATCTATTTTTACACATAATAAATCTTTATTTTAACTATAACTAACACTTTTGAATAACGGATTTCTATCAATACGAGCCTAACATTATATCTGAAATAACCATCAGATTAAACGTCAAAGACATATTCTATGACTATTTTCGATTTTAGTTTAAAACTATTCACTCAAACATTATTATGTTCTGTGACTTTGTACAATATTTTATCAGGGTCAGTTTCAAGAAACTTTGTGTTGATAGCAAATTTAATATGCCTATATTCCTTT